AAAGCGCAAGGGAGGTGCTGCATTGGGGGAGGGTGCGCCATGCTGGCTCTGCGAGGGGGGCGTCTGGTGCAGCTCCCTGCAGGGCAGGGACGTGCCGCCATGCGGGCGGGTGCGCCATGCGGGCGCTGCGACTGGGGCCTTCGATGGAGGCCTCCGTGTGGGGGGCCACGACTCGTGTGATGGGGGTTGCCGCAATAGGGACGGGTGCGCCATGAGAGCGCCACTGGGGCCGTGGGTGGGGATCCCGACGCTGATGGTGGTTACGACGATGATGATGGCGACGGCGACGATGTGGACGTGGATGTGAATATGGATGTGTATGTGTATGCGTATGATGATGGTGGTGGTGATGATGATCAAGTTGATGATACTGATGCTGGCCATGCTGATAATAATGATGATGATAATGATGATGATGACGATGATGACGAAATGCGATCAATATCGGTTTACGCCAAAACACAACCCAGAACACGAGCGCGCAGCCGAAGAAGAGGAGCAGAGAGCCATTGGAATGACGTGCCCTTCGCATTCAGGAAGTCCTGGACAGTCTGGCGGGCCAATCAGGGCCGATCGCAACAATAATAACACGCATGGGAGCCTCCGACACCCGGGGTCAAACCGTCCCATGCATTTAAGCACGTGTAGACGCCATTGCCAGGAAAGTGAATGCGACGTTGGTAAATGAAGATGCATGCATTTCAGCACGTGTAGACGCCATTGCCAGGAAAGTGAATGCGACGCTGGTAAATGAAGATACATGCATTTAAGCACGTGTAGACGCCATTGCCAGGAAAGTGCATGCGACGTCGGTCATAATGAAAGATACACGAGGCCTCAGGATCGACAGGCGGGGCACCGGCGCTCGCCTAGGCCCACCGTCAACGTGAACCTGTTCACTGTGGATCTGCCCACGACCAGGGCCACGATACGAGGCATCATCGGGAAAAAAATGCGCGCGGGCAAATCCAACGATGCGGACCGACGCCAGGAAGAAGTGCAAGACCAAAGTCCCGATCATCCGAGTCATCATGAAGCCGTTCACGACCAAACCGACAATCCGGGCCATATGCAGGAGGATGCACACGATCAGAGACATGATGCTTACCAGAAGGAATTGCAAGGGACAACTCGGTCGTTTCAGGCGTGCCTTGGATGAATGGGAGACGCGCGTCCCCAAGACGAAGCGCACCATGAGAAGATCCTCGATACGACAGCGTTGGTCATACTGAGCAAGGTGCCCCCGATCTTCAGGATCAGGCAGTCCACAGGCACGGGCATGAAGACACTGTTAGGGGGCCACATGCGAACCCTACCCCTACCCCCCACGATTTTTGAGGGGGAGGGTGGGGTTCACTTCGCTCGGGACTGTTCACAATCGAGAGCACCAGGAGGATGAAACTGTACAGGCACAAGGTGGTCGCCCTGCGCCTCAGGACAGTCGACAGTCGCGCCGCCAGCCACATACACAATGTCGACCACGAGGTCAGCCTGCAGTTTTGTTGACATGCACCGCTGCTTGGCGCAACCGCCTGTCTGCATAGGGTCAGGCAGGAGCGCGAGGAGCTCCCACTCCAGAGTCGCGCGGGCAACAGCCGGCGGCAATGACACACGGCGCACGCACGCAGGGAGGTAACCGTCAGCCGAACGAGAGGTTGGACCAACAGTCACCCAAACATTCACGGGCACGACGCAGCAATCGTGCTCGACAGGATCGCTACCCGAGGCCGCTTCGGAAGGCGGCCCTTCGACAATCTAGCCCAAGGAGCAAGTGTCCTGGGAGCGCCTTCCTGGTTACAAGGGAGGCCCGAGCAACGTCCAGCTATGTTAGCGGGACGCTGGCCAGATGTGTAACTCCTGCACAACTGGAAACCAGACAAAAAGAGTCACCACTGCAATCGACCACCCAGCACCTATGGCCAAGAGGCGACAGCCGAACAACATGCACACGCGAAAGGTGGGAACAGGCTCCTGGAGACGGCTCCGCCGCAGAGTCCCTTCCACGGAGGCATGGGGTACATTTGGGGGGTGGAGGGGGAAGGGGGTAGGGCGAAGGGCGAAGGGGGAAGGGCGAAGGGCGAAGGGCGAAGGGGGAGGGGGAGGGGGAGGAGGAGGAGAGGAGGAGGAGGAGGAGGAGGAGGAGGAGGAGGAGGAGGAGGAGAGGAGGAGGAGGAGGAGGGAGGAGGAGGAGGAGGGGGGAGGGGAGGAGGAGGAGGAGGAGGAGGAGGAGAGGGAGGAGCAAGAGGAGGAGGAGGAGGAGGAGGAGGAGGACCGGCGCCCACACGTGGCCCGATCGGGCCACGGGAGAAGGAAGGCGGAGGGACGATCATCGGCAGCCCCTCGAGCTCAAGGCGAGGCCGGAGAGGTACGGCAGGTTCGTGTCGTGCCGACTTCGGCGTTGGTTTCTGACACCGCGGGGATCGTTCAACCTTGAACGATCGGCCGTCTCCGCAACGTCCGATCGTTCAACATCGACCGATTCTGGGCCGCCGTCGGCGTTCAACGTTGAACGTCGGCGGCGGGGTCGCCGCCGGTCGACACGACGCGAACCTACCGTAGGAGGTGGGAAGCAAGAGTGGCCATCGCCTTGGCCACCTTCACAGAAAGAGACGCGTCCTCTCAGCTCGGGAAGAGAGAGCGGGGTGCTGGAGAGCCCCACTCTTAGCCGCCAGGTCGGCAGCGTGCTTGCCCAAACGTCATCATCATCTGCACCCATGTTTCTTTTTCTTTTTCAGCATCATCACGATCATGCTTTCCATCATCACCATCATCATCTGCGGCAGCATCGTCACCATTATCATAATCGTTATCATAAACATCACCATCATCAGCATCATCATTACCAATATCATCATCAGCACCGTCAGCATCTTTATCACCATCGTCATCACAAGTATCGTCATCATAATCTTAGCATTCATACTCAGCATCAGCATCATCCTCATCGCCATCATCATCACCATCGTATGGTGAACCACCGCGCCAGTCGGCACCAAGTCTAGCACCGATGTCAGTCCAGTAGTTCCGACGGAGTCACGGCGGCCGCGATCGATCGCACGGCGCTGGGCAACAATCCGAGCAGCAGCATCAATGATGTGCAACTGTAGCATCTTCACCCCAACCCGAAGCCGCTAGCACAGGACGAACCAGGATCTTGCTTGATTTTCGCGCGATGTTCAGCTGGGGCCGCTCCAGTGGCGATGTGCACCGAGCAACCCTGGACCAGATGATCTGCCTCCAGACCCAGCCAAGTTCCTCCTCCTCCTCCCGTCGCCTCCGCAACTCCGGCACAGCTTTTAACCTTGAGGTACTAAGGTAGAGGCGCGAGAAACTTCAGGGTTCGGCCCCGTCCTCGCACGTCCAGAGTCAGACTCCGACTCCTCCTCACTATTCCGTCTCGCCCTCCTCATCTCGGGCGTTCATTAACGGAGGAGGCAGCAAACAAGTGTTGAAAGAGATACACCACCCGCCCGATCACCACGCACGACCCTTCGGTGGCAACTCATGGGAGCCTCCCGTGCCCTTTTGCCGGCTCTTGCGAATCGACGCTAATCGACGCTGAATCGACGCTAATCAACGCTCAGTCGACGCTGATCGACGCTAACCTGCGCTAAATCGGCGCTGTCTCATCGACTCCCAGACGCTGCTCGACGCTAATCGACTCTCACGACGGAACTAAGAGGACATACAACATACAAGGCTCCACTAATATTCCACCGAGTTGCCCTGCTCATCCTCCTGGTCTCTACCCTCGACGGCGAGCGAGGGGGAAGTGAGGAGGAGGAGGCCTTCTCAGAAGGCTCGGAAGTCCCACGGCCCTCTGAGAGGTTGTCTGAGCCCTCCCCGAAGACAGAAACAACGCCTCAGAAGGCGCGTGGGCGTCTGAGAAGTCCAGCCGCCTCCTGAGAAGGCCCTATCTTGAAGGAGAACAAAAAACGTAAACATAAACTTTCGGCGCTCCGCGCGGATTTCTTGGATCCGCGCTGGTCCCGGTCCCCCCTCCCTGGCACGCGGAGCGCGCCAGGGGAAGCGCCAGAGGCGCCGCTGGGGGGCCCAGGCGCGGATCCAAGAAATCCGCGCGAAGCGCCACAAGTTCATATTTCTGTAGTTGTTTCTCCTTCAATGATCCCTCTCATTTCCCCCCCTCGCTACCCCAAAGATGCCCAAAAGTACTCCAAAAATAGTCCCCTGACTATTTGTTTGACTGAATTTTTGAATATTCCCCCTGTTGAGGGACAGGCCCGACTTAACACCAACCAACCTCTGATGGGCCTGTTTTTCACCACCACCATCATAAGTTGGAGGGGGGAAGGATGTGGAGGATGAGGAGGACGAGGAGGAGGAGGAGGAGGAGGAGGAGGAGGACCCCCTCCCCCTCCAACCTGTGGTGGTGGTGGTGGTGGAACACAGGCCCACCAGACCTCCCCAGGGCAGACCCCCTGCGTTCTTGAAACATTCCCCCTGTGGAGGGACGGGCCCGGCTTCAAACACCAAACCCCCCCAGGGGAAAGACCACGATCTGGAACGGCGCCCTGTAGAGGGACAGGCCCGGCTTCACACCAAACCTCCCCAGGGAAGGAGGAGGAGGAGGAGGAGGAGGAGGAGGAGGAGGAGGAGGAGGAGGAAGAGAAGGACCCCCTCCCCCTCCAACCTGTGGTGGTGGTGGAACACAAGCCCATCAAACCTCCCCAGGGGAGGAGGAGAAGGAGGAGGAGGACCCCCTCCCCCTCCAACCTGTGGTGGTGGTGGTGGTGGAACACAGGCCCACCAAACCTCCCCAGGGGACGAGGAGGAGGAGGAGGACGGGAGGAGGAGGAGGACGAGGAGGAGGAGGAGGAGGAGGAGGAGGAGGAGGAGGAGGAGGAGAGGGGGAGGAGGAGGAGGAGGAGGAGGGAGGAGGAGGAGGAGGAGGGGGAGGAGGAGGAGGAGGGAGGAGGCCCCCCTCCCCCTCCAACCTGTGGTGGTGGTGGAACCCAAAGCCCCTCCCCCAGGGGAAGGACCACGATCTGGAAGGGCGCCAGCTCGTCCTCGCGCAGCGAGGTGCAGCCTCGGGTCTCCGTGAGCCGGTCGGCGGCCAGCGTCCTCGTCCTCGCCCTCGAGGGCCCGAACTGGGCGCGCGGCGGCGGCCCAAAAGCTACTCCAGATTTCGTAAGAAAGGGAGGGGGGTCTCATTTCGGGGGGGGTCTCTTCCAGGCTATCCTGGAGGGCCTGGGGGGGGGGTCTGGGGACGATGTTTTGGAGGGTTCTCCCAACGGGGGGGGTCTGAAATGGCTTGTCTTGGAGGGTCCAGACCCCCTCCCTGTTATAACGAAATCTGGAGTACGTCGGGCCTGTGCCCCCTACAGGGGGATGTTCGACGAACATTCAAAGATACTCTAACAAAAATACCCCAAAAATGGTCAAACAATACTTTACAAAACATCGTCCCCCGACTACTGTTTTTGACTATTGTTTGACTATTTCTGTAGGGGGACAGGCCCGACGTAACCCTAAGCCCGTCGGAGCGCGGCGGCCCACCCTCCCCCTCAGAAATCGTGGGGGGGTTAGGGGCAGGGTTCGCACGTGGCCCCCTAAACTTGGGTCGGGCCTGGCCCCCTACAGAGGGATTGTGGTCGAAAAATGCAAAATAACACACACCCCCCCCCCCAAAAAAAAAAAAAAGTACGGGGACTATTTTTCGAGTATTTGTTTTCCATTTTCGAATAGTTTTTGAAGTTTTCTATTTTTCGTCGAAAGTCCCCCTGTAGGGGGACACGCCCGACTTAACCCTAAACCCGTCGGAGCTGGAGAGGTGCAGCCCGAGCGGCGAGCGAGGGGGGGGGAGTGAGAAGGCCCAGGCCTTCTCAGGAGGTTCGGAGGTCCCCCGGCCTCCTGGGAAGTGTCCTGAGCCGTCCCCAGAGACAGAACAGGCAACTCTCAGGAGGCGCGAGGGAGGGCTTCTGCGAAGCCCCGCCGCCTTCTGAGACGGCCCTCTCCTGCTCGCTTCCCCCCGCCGCCCGCCGCCGAGAGAGGACGAGTGGCAAGGAGGGCGACGAAGATCGGTGGAGACGTCGACCTCTGAGACAATGAACGGGGCGAGTGAGAGCACGAGCGAGAGGAGGAGGAGGAGGAGGAGGAGGAGGAGGAGGAGGACACATGAGTCCTTCCAGATGGGAGGGGGCGTACGCGCGAGAGAGGCAACATAAAACAAGTAACAGTCGTGGCCTCCTGCTGCCGACGGAGCTGTGAGGTACCCACGCAGATCCCGATCGCTTGCAGACTGCCCTCGAAGCTCACTCTCACCAACTGAAATCACATGCATGTCGTTTAAAACGACGCGAAGATCGGGACAAAATCGGATCGGGATATCTCGAAATCTCTGAGAATAGGCGGGATTGGAGGATGTATTGGGCGCCGCGGCCGCTCCAGAGCGTTCCAGAACGCTCTGAGAGCGCTCCGGAACGCTCTGGAGCGATTTATCCCGATCCTAGCCCTGTTTTACCGTTCGCCTTGGAGAAGGTGGGAAACAAGGAGACTATGCACAGCACACAGATCGCGCCGCCGTAGCACAGTACAAGGTGAGTGTTGATCGACGTCGTCGACCTACCCGTTGCATATTGTCAGGTCCAACCCACTGCCCCCTCAATCAATGCCCCTCACAATATATCAAGCTGGTTGACGAATGTGTCTCGGAAGGGTCTTTCGGTGCGGTCAATCTTCCAAATGCGTCGAACTCATCACTTGGGAACCATGTCAAACCGTGACGCTCTCAGAAAGCGGTCGAACAGAAAGAGACTACACAGTGTTTGAGCGTGTCCCAGAGAAGTGTCAGCTCCTGTCATATCATCAACATTTGGTCAGTGGACGCTGACACGATGAAACTGTTGTCCGCATACACTGAACCGGTCAACCACTAGCCAGTGCCTGATCATCAAGGTTCTCCCTGAAACTGCAACTGCAAAACAAAGGGATCTGAACACTGAGACCCTGCATCACCGACTGAAGGATCGAAAGAGCGAGCAGCATTTCCTCCCTCCCCCACGCCCCACACCGCTCCTCCTGCCTGCTCCTCCTCCTCCTCCTCCTCCTCATCCTCCTCCTTCTCCTCCCAGCCGGCCGTGGGGGGGAAGGGGCAGTCCTTATCCCTGGTTTTCAGGCAAGTCGGCTTGCGGCTTAAACTCTCGTCGTCGATCTTCTCCTTCCGGCGTCGCGCGGAGGGCAGTGCAGGACAAGGCGCTTCCAGTAAAAAGCGTGCCGCCAACGAAAGCTTCATCTGCACTCCACTCCCATGCGCGACATGAAACTCAATAATCAGCGCTGCTGCTGGCGCGGAAGACTTGATGTGCTCCCGTGGCCGTGTGGATGCAGAGGTTGGGGTCCTGCCTATATCCTGCAGATGATGGAGCCCCCTCCACGCCTTCTCGACCCCCTCCCCCTCCTGATGAGATGTACCCATGTCTTCCGACTCGTCCCGCTGACAGTACTCTGAACATGTTCTGAGGGTGGGGGGCTCAGGGTGATATCCATATGGGCTTTTGCTCCTCGAGAACCAATCCGTCTTGCGATTCCCTTTTTGCAAGGTCAAGCCCCGAACGTCCATCGAAACGGCACTTCGGGTGTCACCCTTTGCCCTCCACCCAACGAACATGCTCGGACACTCCTGCTCCCCTGCAGTGCAGTCCTCAACCCACGGCGCCGGACGCAGCTCTTTCGTGGCGAGCTTCTCCTCGACCGAGGGGAGCTCCTCCGCAAGCGCGCTTGCGCCCGGGGGGGGGGGAAAGCAGAACCTCCGCGCGCAGCTTCGATCCAGTCGGGCAGGCTGCTCCCGGCCTCAGCGAAGCGAGCAGAGCGCCCGAGCCCGCCCGTGCCCATGACGGCACGGCGTGGACGCCGCGGCCTCGAAAGTGTGAGTGCGTACCTGCTGCCGGGAGGATTGGGGGAGACGGGAGCTCCGGAGTGGTCCAGGGCTTCTTCGAGGGTCTCTGGGAGGCTGCTGGAGGCCACGGAGGAACAGCAGCACCGATCCCACACGCCCCGCGCCCAGCCAGAAAAGGGGAGGGGAAGGATCATGACGAGGACGGACGGTACAGGAAAGGGAGGGTGAAAGGAGAAAGGGGAATACCACCTTCGCCATCTGGCACACACGTGCATCGAGCGTCATAGGGCCGTCTGGCGCATCATGGCCCAAACAATGACCACCCCTGGGCGCACAAATGAAATCCACAACCCGCGCATATGATAAAACAAACGCCAGACCTCCCAAGGCTACACCATACGACTCTGCACTGCCTTTACTGAAGGGGCCCCAGGACACACAAGTAAATACATACAAATACAAAATATTCCCGACATGCTCCTATATTTTCTTGGTTTCTGCCTTCCCCCCCACTTCCCATACTTTCCCATATTTCCTGGGGAATCGACGATTCATTGCGTCTGTGTGTTTCTTTCCCTCCTGACAGACTTCCCAATGCTAAATCATACGACTTTGCACTGCCTTTACTCTGTGCAGCACTCTGCACAAGAACGCGACACGCTGCGCTGCGCTGCCCTGCATCGACCCGCTCAACTGCACAGAGCACTGTACGGCACCACGCTGTACACGCAAAGCTTCAGTCTATGCTGTACGACAGGAGGAGGAGGAGGAGGAGGAGGGGGAGGAGGAGGAGGAGGAGGAAGGGGGGAGGAGGAAGAGGGGGAGGAGGAGGAGGAGGAGGAGGAGGAGGAGGAGGAGGAGAGGAGGAGGAGGGAGGAGGAGGAGGAGGAGAGATGCCACGACATAGCAAAAGACATCCCGTGCCCCTCCTGGCACTCCCTCGACCCGTCGTCCCTCCTTCCCGCCTCGTGCCTCTGGGGCCGCTCCCCGAGGGTGAGTGGACAGCAGCGCAGCTGGCTTCTGGAGGGTGGCAATGCTTCGGCAAGAGGCTCCGATACCGACGAGGCGGCTGTACACCCTAGATGTCAGGGATGATAGAAGCATGGCAACACAAGATGAAGACAGAGAGAGTGATCGATCTATACATAAGCAGTATGTACACATATATATATATGTGTGAATATATATATATATATATATATATATATATATATATATGTTGTAACATGGGCGTAGACATAGAGAAAGGTGTAGAAAAGGGCGGTAATGAGAGACATATGCGCGTGTGCGCGTGTGTGTGTAAGTGTGTGTGTGTGTAAGTGTGTGTGTGTGTGTGTGTGAGTGTGTGTGTGTGTGTGTAAGTG